CCTTGCTGTTATCTACTTCCCATCAAATATTGCTATAGTTATGCTAGTAGGTGTAGAGTTGGTACCTTGTGTGATTAAAGTTGTATTTAATAACAGCTGATGATTTTCAGAATTTTTCAGGTCCTTGCTGGTCACTTAATAACTTTGTTAGAGAAATATCTATTCAAACATTTTCTATTTTAGCCGGGTGGTGGTGGCGCACGCCTTTAATCCCATCACTCGGGAGGCAGAGGCAGGCGGATCTCTGTGAGTTCGAGGCCAGCCTGGTCTAGTTCCAGCTAGTTCCAGGACAGGAACCAAAAAAGCTATGGAGAAACCTTGTCTCGAAAATAAAAAAAAAATTTCTATTTTAAAAATGAGTTCTGTTGGGTTGTAAGTGCTCTAGATGCTAGGAGCTTCAAATATGTAATTTGTGAATATCTCTCTGAGTTTATATGCTTCCTTTTAAAATTCATTATGGTTTTCTGATACACAAAATTTTCAAATTCTGATGAATCTTATTTTATACATTTTTTTGTTTTATTTGTGCTTTTGATGTTATACCTAAGAAACTATTTCCAATACAAGGTTATAAAGATTGATCTCTTTTCCCCCTAAGATTATTATGGTTTTTAACTCTTATGTTTAGATCTTTTATTAATTTCAGTTAATCTTATGTAATTATAATTTCTCATTGATTTGTAGAAATTCTCTCTATATTTTAAATATTAATGTTTTGACTGCAAGAGTGGTAGAGAGGCCTTTTTACTTTATGCATGGCTTTTTTATTCTGACATCACATTTTTATGTCTACAACTCACCATGTGTGTTTTTTGGTTCTGTTTAGGAAATATTTCTCATATAAATTTGTAAGATTATTTCCTATACTTTTGCATTTCCTTTTCCTGTGTCTAAATGACTACCTGGAAGTACTTTCATATATGGTCAAGTAGAGATCTAATTATTGTTTCCTGCATAGACAATAATAGTCTCAGTGGTCTTTATTAGTCTTTCCCTCATAATTTGCAAAACTACTTCTGTTCTATATTAAGTTCCCGACATGGTAGCCTTGCCTCAGGATCTGTCTACTTTTATCTTTCCTAGAACCATTCTAACTAGCACAGATTCATTGTAAGCCTTTGTAAAATTCATAGTAAGCTTAGTGCGGCAAAGTCAACCTCCTAATTCTTCAAAATTGCATGGTAGCTGGAGTAATGTCCCCTTGTAAGGATGCATACCAGAGTCCTAAATCTTTTAGTTTACATCGTAAAAGACTCTTGCAGAAACAATTATGGATGTTAGAGGTAGAGAAAACTCTAGATTATCCTGGTAGACTTAGTATAATTCGAGTGATGACCAGTGGGACACTGGAGGGTCAGAGCCAGAGAAGGAGATGTGAGGATAGACACAGAGGTCAGAGAGATATGGCTCTGACCTGAGGAATGGTGGCAGCCTCTGGAAGAAGAGGGAATTCTGAGAAAACATAGCTGGAGTTTACAGACACCAAAAAGCTTGTAAATGTTCTGCTCAGCCAAGTCCCTTATATGCACAAATCATCCATCTTGACTGAAACAGTCTAAGAAGAAAATACAATTTGAAGGATATTTCTTTTGTTCACTGTTGGGCGCCATGTATTCCCAAGTTCTTCATCACTAACAATTAAACTTTTTTCCTTTTCTTTTTTTTTAATATTTATTTATTTATTATGTATGCAATATTCTGTCTGTGTCTATGACTGCAGGCCAGAAGAGGGCACCAGACCCCATTACAGATGGTTGTGAGCCACCATGTGGTTGCTGGGAATTGAACTCCGGACCTTTGGTAGAGCAGGCAATGCTCTTAACCTCTGAGCCATCTCTCCAGCCCCCTCCTTTTCTTATTAATATAAGGTAGCAAATGTTTACTGCTTCATCAACATATGTGACAGGTAATGGAGTCTTGAAGAAAGAGTAATTTTTAAAAAAGTTTTGTTCATATGTACAAACAATTTTACACAATTTGTGTGTGGTTTGACACTGCCATTGTCCTTAAACCTCTTTTGCAAAACTATGGGATCTAAAACTAAAACCAAAAGATTACTTGATTTTCATAGTACATTTGCAAGGAAGTCTATGGAAGAGTTCTTTTAACTTTTAACTATAAATGTATTTCTGGAGCTGGAAACCCCTTAGTAGACATGTTCAGTTACTTACATTTAAGATGAAGCATACAGTCAACAGTCACAATGGTCTCTTCACATTCCAAGTTCAAACTCTCATGCACTTCATGATTTGTTCACTTTTGTGTTTAGTTTTTAGCCAAAGCTACATTGGTCCTGATTCTTCAAGGATTCCTTACCCCTGGCTGCACTCAGGGGTCCAGCCTTTGCCTCTGCCTTCCGGGTGCTGTGAAATCAAGGCCAACATGGTTTACAGAGCAAGTTCCAGGCCAGCCAGGGCTTTTTCATTGAGAAACCTTATCTTAGACCCTCCCTCCCCCAACTTCCCCCTAAAAAAAAAAGAGAGAAAAGAAAAGAAAAATAAGACTTCTGGTTGAAGATTTACATTGGAAGCGTACTAAAGTGGTTTTGTATATAGCTTTTGGTCTGAGTTTTTATTTATGTCACTACTTGGAGATTTTTATCTGAACTCTTAGGAAACAAAAGCTTCAGATTCTGACTCTAAACTCCAGGGCACTGCTGTTAGACTGAAGAAATAAAATGCGTCTCAGATGTCAACTTTATTTTGCTTGGAGAAAAGTTCACAAAAAATGATGGGTTTAAGTATAATGCCATTATTTCAAGATATAATTTATACTCTTATACATTGTATTGATATTTGTAGTTTTGTAACGGACCAAGCTAAGCTTCTCATGTCATGTTCTGGGTTAAGATATGAGTTCAAGGATAAGCCGCTAACCAAAACAGGGCTTTGTTTTGCTTCCTGCTTTTTCTTAAAAGTTGACCGCTGTTTGTGAGATTCTCCTTCAGAGAAAGGCAACTATTATGAAGCTTTTTATGATTAGGATCATAGTATAATTTCACAGGCATTGATGTGTGCATTTTATTAACACAATTAGTACTTCAAAATCTAGTGTTTGATACGGAATTGGGTGAGTTATTTTCAGAACACATACACAAATATAATTTAATTATATATGTATATATATTATTAAAGACATGCCTTTAAGCACACAGAGATGGGCTGCTTGTACTGAAAGATTACAGACATTATTGATCAGAGGTTTTCATCATGATCACAGTAAGAAGAAGTCTGTCCCTCAAAGTCTTGTAAATGTATACTAGAACAGGGAAACTGAGGCATGGATGGCTTCAGGGCAGTGGAAGCCAAGGCTCAACAAAGTGGAAGTAGAATTTCTCAGTTCTAGCATGTTCTAGTTTGAGTTTTCTTGTTGTGATAAAACACTCACAGGGAAAGAAAGCGTTTATTTGGCTTACACTCCCAGGTCACACTTCATCACTGAGCAGCATCAGGAGAGAAATCCAGGCTTCACTCATGGGCTCATGCCTTGCTAGCTTCCTGGACTGTGGTCCAGGGAATGGTGCTGCCCTCAAGAGGCTGTATCTTCTTACATCAAATAACAATCAAGATGACCACCCCACCCCATAAACATGCCCACAGCCCAATCTGATTTGGACCTTCCATCTATTGAGACTTCTTTCTCTGGTGACTCTAGGCTGTGGTAGGTCTCCAGTTAAAGCTAACAAAGATGGCACGGTTTCATGGACTGAGATGAGCAACTGGGCAGAGCCAGTATATGCTGGTATGTCCACTGCGAGGATGGGATGATGGAAATCAATTGCACAGGGATAGGATGAATTAAGAAGGAACTGATTTCCAGGCAGCAGAAAGGCCTTTACTCCTCTAGGTACGACAGAGAGGGGTATTGCTCCTGGAAACCTATGCCATGAGGAAGGAAAAAAAATCTCAAAAAGGTAAAAATACAGAAGTGCATGATGCTATTAATGTGTGTCAAGAGCTTCATGGTGAAGGCTATTTTGAGGGCCTTCTCCTCTTTTTATTAACTATACTGAAGGTTTATTCTTTCTCTACCTCCTTCTTCTTTTCTTCCTCCCCTTAGCAAATGTGGCAATACTGCATTTTCCCAAGGACCTTTGGACTTGATTAAAAATTAGGGTTATTTGTTTTTAAACTGAGCTGAAATTAGATCTACTCTTATGTTAACTCAATAAATATTTGTTGGAAATCTACTTTTTTCAAATAGTGTTTAAATTGCAAGCAAAAAAGGTATGCCATTAGGGAGACTTTGTTTACTTAGAGAGGAAGATGGTAGGCACACGTGTGCAGGGACGAGTGTTTAATGCCGGGTTCTGAGGAGAATGAAAAGGGCCATAAAAAAGAGTGGGGGTGCGGGGAAGATGGACTGTTGTATCGAGCTATTTTCTACTTTATATAGGTCAAAAATACTCCCTATTATGGTGACATTGAGCCAAGAGCTGAATGAAGAGAGAGATGAAGAATGAGACTACTTGGAGGAAAAGGTATCGTTTGTGGATGGTGCGGAGACAAGTGGAGAAGTTGGTACAGTCAGGGCATTCGTTATGGTGAACACAAGTGGATTTTCAATGAGCTATATCACCTCAGCCTTCAGGGCCTCAGGGCTTCAGTCAGCCTTAACCTGCTAGACCTTCTAGTAACGTCTGACAGAGCAATTAGGCACACACAAACACGATGATGATGGTGGTGGTGATGGTGGTGGTGATGATGGTGATGATGATGATGGTGGTGGTGTGCTTGGTTTTGATGTTTTACTGTGCAGTGATGGCAGGAGCAAGATTTGAGATGAACCTAAACCTTGTACTAATGACTGTGCTATTCTTTCTCCAAGGGGAAAACCTCTCTCAACATGGGGAAGACAGGCTGGGAGGTCTTCAGTACTGAGAACAATGAGCCATCATTTTGATTACTGTCCAGAGAACAACCATCCCCCAGGTGTGCTGTTAAACATTCTCTAGAGTAAACATGAAACATAACCTTCTGTGCTCTCCAGCATAGATCTATGGTTGATGGGCAAAGTCGGTGAAGAGACTTACCTGCTGGACACGTGGAAATTGTGGAAAGTTTAATGGTAGTCACTTTATGGAAAAGTCTTACATAAATTTGCTTTAAAGAATAATAAATCTCAGAGGGGCAGGGTGGCTCAGTGGTAAAGGGGCTTGCTGTCTTGCCTAATGACCTACGTTTGCTCTCTAGGACCTACGTGGTCAAGAGAAAGCCAGTTCCCACAAGCTGTCGCCTCACCTCCACATGTGCACAACTATATCTGCACCGTGCAGATGAGGTAAATATTTAAAAAGTGTAATGAATCTTCACTGGGGAGATGGAATGGAAGCTGTGTGAGTAGTAAAGCTGATTGAGACAGTGATTCTGGACTTAAGGAAGAAGAGCTTAGTTGGCATTTTCTTCCAACTAGCTCCCCAAAAAACAGGCATGAGGAGTTGTTATTAATTATGAATGCTCAGCTTTAGTTTAGGCTTGTTCCATTAGCTATTTTAACTTAATTTAACCTGTTTTTATCCACCTACATTTTGCCACAGGACTTTTTGCCTTTCTCTCATTCGGTATGTTCTATGTTCCTGCTTACTCCATGTCTAGCTGGCTGGTCCCTTCATCTTTTTCTTTTCTTTTTTCACATTTTCTTTTTAAATTGTTTTTATTGAGCTATATATTTTTCTACACTCCCTTCCCTTCTTCCCTTTCTCTCCCCTCCCCTTTTACCCTTTCCCATGCATGGTTCCCCATGCTGGCAATTTACTCAGGAGATCTTGTCTTTTTCTTCTTCCCATGTACATTAGATCCATGTATGTTTCTCTTAGGGTCCTCATTGTTGTCTAGGTTCTCTGGGGTTGTGAATTGTAGGCTAGGGCTATTTTTTTTTTTACTTTATGTTTAAAAGTCACTTATGGGTGAGCACATATGGTATTTGTCTTTCTAGTTCTGGGTTACCTCACTTAATATGATATTTTCTAGATCTATCTATTTGACCGCAAATTTCAAGATGTCATCATTTTTTTTCTTCTGTGTAGTGCTCCATTGTGTAAATAAATGTACCACATTTTCCTTATCCATTCTTTGGTCAAGGGGCCATTTAGGTTGTTTCCAGGTTCTGGCTATGAAAACAATGCTGCTATGAACATAGTTGAACACATGTCCTTTTGGTATATTTGAGCATCTTTTGGGTATATACCAAAAAGTGGTATTGCTGAATCTTGAGGTAGGTTGCTTTCTAATTTTCTGAGAAATAGCCACATTGACATCCAAAGGGGTTGTACCAGCTTTCACTCCCACCAGCAACGTATCCCTTTACCCCACATTCTCTCCAACATAAATTATCATCAGTGTTTTTGATGTAAGATGGAATCTCAGAATTGTCTTGATTTGCATTTCTCTGATGGCTAAAGATGTTGAGCATTTCCATAAGTGTCTTTCAGCCATTATAGATTCCTCTGTTGAGAGTTCTCTGTTTAGGTCTGTACCACATTTTTTTTTGTACCACATCTTTTTAAATTGGATTATTTGTTCTTTTGATGATCAATTTCTTGCATTCTTTTTATATTTTGGAGATCAGACCTCTGTCTGACGTGGGGTTGGTGAAGATCTTTCAGTAGGGTGCCATTTTTCTTGTTGTCCATGCCCTTTGCTTTACAGAAGCTTCTCAGTTTAAGGAGATCCAATTTATTAATTGTTTCTCTCAGTGTCTGTGCTGTTGGAGTTATATTTTGGAAGTGGTCTCTTGTGCCAATGTGTTCCAGTGTACTTCCCACTTTCTTTTCTATATGGCTCAGTGTAGCTGGCTTTATGTTGAGGTCTTTAATCCATTTGGACTTGAATTTTGTGCATGGTGATAGATATGGATCTATATTCATTCTTCTACATGTTGATATCCAGTTATGCCAACATCGTTTGTTAAATATGCTTTCTATTTTCCATTTTATATTTTTTGTTTCTTTGTCAAAAATCAGGTGTTTAGTTATGAGGATTGAAATCTGGGTTTTCGATTAGTTCCATTGGTCCTCTTGTCTGTTTTTATACCAATACCAGACTGTTTTCAACACTGTGGCTCTGGTTGGTGTAGTTGGGGCTGTGTCTCTGGTGATCAATCTTCTAGGTACCAGTGGATCTAAGGCTTAGATGGATGCTTCTCGTGGTACAGTCAGGGCCACAGTTCCAGTCTCCCTGGATGTCACTTGGTGTTCTCAGAGGTCACTCAGTACTCCCGGGAGTTGCTCTTCAATCCCAGGAGTCATTCATGCCTACTCCCATGGAGGTTGCTTTCTTGGGTCTGCTCCCACTGAGGTCTCTGCCTTGGGCCTGCTCCTGCAGAGGTCCCTGACTTGGGCCTTTTCTCTCAGTGATTGCTCACTTGTACTCCTGTGGGGGTCACTGCCTCAGGCCTACTCCAGCAGGAAATCACTGGCTCAGGCCTGCTCCCATAGAGATTTTTGTCTTCTTCATCTCTTTTACTTTTTTCTTTTTTTGGACCTAAATTTCTCCTTCTATTTACTCTCCCTGCCAGGAATTTCTATCTATACTATACTCCCTCCCTATTGGCCAGTCAACTTTTTATTAGTCCAGTCAGGTACCTTAGGCAGGCAAGGCAAAACAGCAACATATATTTACAAAATTAAACAAATGCAACATAGTTATATACATATTCTACAACAGCAGAGGCTTGAGAAACCTGTGGAACCTGAAAGCTGAAACAATTGGATAAAGAGCTAGACCTCTGGTGGGCATGCCCAGTTGTCTCTGGGACAAACTCACTCTCTAATGTTCTAATGTTCTAAGTTCACACTGGAAAAAAAGACATTGTGATTTCAAAATACTGCCTGTACATTTAAATAACAGCTTGTAGTTGTAGATGTATTTGCTTTATTTCTCTCTTCTTGGAACAGAATGATCAAGGATATGTGTCCTCAAAGCTAAACTTTAATGTCATATTAGTGCTTAGCTTTACGGACTGGTGAGCAGGTAAGCTAGGCAAAGCTAACAGTTCTTAGAAAAACAGCTTTGTGGACCACATCATTATTTGTTTCCTATTTCACACACAGTCACTTCTTTATAACTCAAAAGCCAAATATTTGATGTAAACTAACCACAAACCTGGGGAATTGGCTCAGTGAATAAAATTCTTGCAACAAAAGAGTGAGGACTGACCTGTTTGTGTGCCCAGAACCCATGCAAAATGCCAGGCAGTGAGGCAGTTACCTGATTTCAGTGCTCAGAAGGGGAAGCAGAGACAGAGGACCCCAGAAACAAGCTGGCTAGCTAGTTGGGCAAGAGTGGGTGAGCTCCAGGCTTATTGAGAAGAGACTCTACCTCGATATGTAAAGTGGAAAGCGAATAAGGAAGACATCTGGTGTCAACTTCAATCCTCTACATATGTGTACACAAACATATGTGTACTTATACACATGCGAGCATACATACATGCACACACAACACAAACATACACACATGAACACACATATATGCACATACACATTTATATGTGTATATATGAATGTATATATGTATATGCATATATATACACATACAGATACTCATTCAATGCCTTCTTAACCTCAGTGATAGAAATGAGACTGTGATTATAGCTTTGACTAATCTTTCCACGTGTACAAAACCCATGAACTTTTGGTCTTGTTTTCTTTCTCCTGCAGGAAGTAAGCCTCCTGGTTCATTGTTAAATATTTGAATACTGAAACCATGAGCTTACAAAAGCTCCAGGAATCCAGGACACAACTTTTCCCTCAGAATTACCTGAGATTGGGTTCTGGACCTGATACATCATCACCATGGAGATTTCAGTGTGTTTTTCCAAGGACGGTGTCCTGCATCAGCATGAGACAACAACCAAAGGTAGGAGGTGACGATGGGCACATTGCCATTCAGCTCTCAATACACATCTACATTTTGCTAATTGTCCCAATAAACCCCAGTGAAAGGATCTCATTCAGAACCACTCATGTCTGCTCATTCTGACCCTTCGGGAAAATTCTGTCTGGAATAGCTCTTCACCCGTCCTTGACTCTTGTGGTTTTGGCCCTTGATGGTCACGGGGCAGGCCCTTTGGTCTTCCTGCATGATTGTGTATTGAATCTCGGAGAGAAAGAGCCTCACAGCAGTGCTCCCAGGATGCATTTCACACATCTTCTGGCTCATGGCTTCAGTTGTGTCTGTTACTGAAGCTGTTTGCTTTATTCCTCTGATTTGGTCAGAATCTGTCTAAACATCTCACTGCCAAGTTTCTCCTCTTCTTTGCAATCAGCAATTATTTTATCAGCAGATAATTTCACTTCAAAATTTATTTATTTTTTCTGTGTGGAGTCACTGTTTTTCTATGGCACCCACACCCACAATTTGTTAACATCTATATTTTGAAGCTTGAATTTGCTCCACTTTAGTTGTTGGGAATTCCCTTTGAATCCAATGCCAATGTTTTGTGGTGTGGCCACTTCATTCTTTGAATTCCTCTTAATTTTATTGCAGAATATAATATCAGAATTTGTTCTACTCTCCCAGGAAGCAGCCTTTTCCATGGAACTCACTGTCTTCTTCGGAAAAAAAAGTACACCCACCCCCCAAAACCAAAAGACGATATGTAAAGGCCAAGGCATGAGGAGTGCTTGTTAATGCTGGGCTGTGGAGGAAGGCTTGCAGATTTCATGTTTGCTTGGTGAATGAAGTCTGAGAAGACACACATGTATTTATTTCTGTATTTTTAAGATCATGAGCTAGAATCAAGCCCTGGCTTGCAGTCTGGCGCCATGGTATTCATTCTCATTTCCTGTCTTCATCTGTGACATCTGCTCTCCATTCTCCCTCAAGTGCTGGTTTATTTGTTAAACCATCTAAATGACCAACCTCTCATCATGGCCGTCACTCTCCCCCACACCTTCTTCTTTCTGCTCAAGCTGTTGGCTCAAATCTGAGCCCGTAATTGCCCTACACAGACACCATTCTCCTGCCAGTTGGATCCTGATGTCCTATGGAAGGCATCCTACAGGGGCATCTTTCACCTTGCTCAGGCTTACAAGCTGGCCATGGAGCTATCCCTTTGCAAGGAAGGACACCCTACCCTCACACAGGTTCTGAGTTCCTACACTGCATGACCCTTGTTTTTCCTAGTCCCTTGAAGCTAGCCTCATCTCTGATCAGGGGACCTCTTTCCATTCATGCTTCTACATCTTGATGCCAACCTATTTAAGTCTGGCTCCTCACAATGGGTGCTTACACGAGTAAACTCCTCATTCTTTGGGCTCTGACGCCCAACTCTAGCCTGTCTGTGGGCTTATGGTGTCGCGTTTCCACTGTGACTCCATATCTTCACATCTCACCACTCCTATATCTAGACACATATTCACTACAACTTCACCCAGTGAGAGCGTATCACGATATGTCAGGGTCTCTGCATGGGCTCCTTCTCATATGAACTCTTACATCCCCCAGTGGCAGGCCTGGTCTGCCTTCCCCTCCACACACAAAGGGACTGAGTTGTTAGGGGGAAGGAAAGAAAGAGAGGCAGAGGAGAAATGAGTAAGAGATTTATAGTGATTGTCTTCTTGACATCATTTGTTCATTTATTCATTCAAAACATTTAGGATAACCCAGCACATAGCAAGCCCTACCCTATGTACTATACTAAGAAGTAGTATCCTTGGTGATACTTGATAGGCCAGGTTCATTTCCAGAATGTTTCTATTCTAGAAGTACCGTGAGAAAGAGTCAGTAGAACATCTCCTGGACCTGGAATCAGACACTACCTTTAACACTTGGGTTCAAAGGCTTGAGCTCCTGAGCTAGCTGCTTGACTGAATGTCCTTTGTGCCATCTGCAAAATGGAGAACACGTATCTTACAGTGCTGTTCTTAGGGTTGAGATTCAACACACACAACACTTACGAGACGGCATCAAATCCTCCTCACAACATACTGAGCTGCATCCTGTTTTGAAGCAGAGCATAGCAGAGGTTGGAGCTATTGTGCTTATCTGCATGCTCAGTCCCCTGGGCTCCTTCTCCAGCACTGCAGCAAACTGGACGCAGTGGCACCATGGGTAATCCCAGCATTCGTGAGTAGAGGTAGGAGGAGTTCATGGTCATCCTTGGCTCCATAGTGAGTTTGAGGCCATCATGGGGTGCAGTTTTAGGAAGAGTATCCACAGAAGGTCTCTGTGGGGGCAAAATGTTGAAGGAGATGAACAAGCAAGGCATAGCTATTTGGAGGAAAAGCAGCTGTTCCAGATAGAAAAAAATAGCCATGGCGTTGAGCCTGATCCAGAGGTTTTCTGAGTGTGTTGTACAGAGAGTTAAAGGTGGCTGGTGACCTTTGGCAGGAGTCTGAGCAGGGAGGGAGGGGAAAGAGGAAGGAGGTGGGAGAAAGGGATCAAACCACTGAGCCTTTCCCTCAGTAATCCAGCCCCAGCCCAGCTTTCTGTATTAACCTCAGTGTGTTGGAGCACCACTATGCTTCTCCCTGGGTGACTGGCCTTCTACGCAAGATTCCTCCTATAAAATATTCTACTTAGTATTATCTTAACACATTCAATAGATAAGCTAAAGGCACGATTTTATTGTTTGAAGATGCCATTAATATTGATAATGGGATAATCATGTTCCCACATACTATGTCCTTGTAACCATTATGTGTCACTATAACATTGTGTGTGTGGGGGGGACAGGAGAGATTCTTAGAAGGGGGTTGGGTTACATCTCAGTAGTCTAGTACTTGCTTAGACCATGAGAGCTCTGGTATGGACCTCCAGTGCCGAAGAAAGAAAAATGTAAAAGGCAGGCTGTGTCTACTTCTTCACCTTCCTTAGTGTTTCGAACTAGTGTGTCATGGAAAGATATAAACATCCGAGCTTGTGTTTCCTCTCAGGGTGGGAGCTCAACTCCATCATCACTATAATAGGTAGTAAAGAGAATGAAAGTCCCTCAATTATCCATAGACGTGCTCTTCTTTTATCCGAATGCCTCCTTGCATAAGGAGATTCACTTTTACAGGTCAGAGAGTAGCACACTGCAGTATGCAGCCCGTAGCATCCTGGTCATTGTGTCTTTCACTCTCAAGTAACACCAGGACATACATTTATTTATTTATTGTTTTTTTCTTATTGATTTTTATTGAGCTCTACATTTTCCTTTGCTCCCCTTCCTGCCTATCCCCTCCCTCTTCAACCCTCCCCCAAGGTCCCCATGCTCCCAGTTTACTCAGAAGATCTTGTCTTTTTCTACTTCCCATGTAAATTCGATCCATGTATGTCTCTCTTAGTGTCCTCACTGTTGTATAAGTTCTCTGGGATTGTGGTTTGTAGGCTGGTTTTTTTTTTTTTTTTTTTGCTTTATGTTTAAAAACCACTTATGAGTGAGTACATGTGATAATCGTCTTTCTTGTCTGGGTTACCTCACCCAAAATGATGTTTTCTAGCTCCATCCATTTTCCTGCAAAATTCAAGATGTTATTATTTCTCAGGACATTTATTTTTGAGAATACAGACAAGCAAATGTGTGTTTTCAAAAGTCAGGATCTTTTTGGCTGATTTCTCTAAACTCAGTGTGGAATTACTGAGACACTAAGAACTGATAGATAGTCTCAACTATATCTACAATGGTCCAGCTGTTGCAGTTTTTAAATGCTGGATTGATCACGTACACCCTTAGGGCAGAGATGAGTATCTGCTAGTTATTTCTAGTAAAGATGCCATTTGATAAGTAGGACTCAAGGAGCTCCATTTGCAAGGGAGTGTCCATTTGTGGCTTAGAGCTGAGAACTAAGTCATCGACATGAAAGATCAAGTTCAGTCAACAATCCGATGTGCCCCCCCACGTGTAAAGGGCCAAGCAAAAAACATTAAAAATAAGAAAAAAATAACCCTCTGTGTGTGTGTGTGTGTGTGTGTGCTCACGTATTGGGCGCAGCGGGGGGGGGGGATGTTGGGGTAGGGAGTTTAGAATACAGTTCGCGCCTGGAAAGATATACTCAAGAAGGAGGCGAGTGTGGTGGCACATGCCTGTGATTTCAGTATTCTGGAAAGTGGGACACAGGAGGACCTTGAGTTTGAAGATAGCCTGGGCTACATAGTGAGACTGTGTCACAAAAATGGGAAAAGAACAGGGGGTGAGTAAAGGAACGAAGGCAAACCCCGTTGAGCAGGATCAGCCACACGGGCAGCTGCTCCTGAAAGCTATGCTTTTTATTATTATTATTATTGTTGTTGTTGTTGTTGTTAAATTCTTCTCCTTATTGGTCCCCTCCCTGACTTCATTCTTCATTTTCCCCTCTTTGGAGACAGAGTCCCACTGTGTAGTCCAGTCTGGCTTCAAATTCACTTTCTTTAGGCTTCAGCATCTCTAGCATTGGGGTTACAGGTGTGCCCCCTCCATGCCAGTTTCCTCTTGGTTCTTATTAGTGTTTAGACACAGCTGAATTGTTTCATATGCTCTTAATACGGCAGTGTGAACCTATCCAACTTGTGGTTTGGATGACATGGCCTGCCCACAGTTAGGTTTTTCTTTTCCCAGTGGTCCTTCTCAAAAATACAACTTCAATTCTAAACCAGTATACAGAATCTAGGGCAAGTGTCTTGGAATGAAGATCTATGATATTTTAATCCTTCCCATGCAAATGGGGCAGATCTCTATTTCCCATACTTGCTAAAGAACATCTATTTGGAGCAGAAGATGACAAGCAGAACTACTCAGCACAAATTGTTGGTCGATCTTCTCATTTTACCCTCTAGATCTAGCATTCTGTGCTTCATGGGTGCACAGCTCAGGTCCCCTTACATTGTAGACTAACTACCAACTAGGTTTGCCTGATGGAAGGAAGGGGCAGAAGAATTCCTTCCTGCCCTGTGTCTGGGTAGTAGCTGTTTCCCCTTTCATCATGGCTCCTATTAGATGGCACCTTCTACATCTCTCACTGGGTTCCAGGAACTGCTCCCTCCCTTGTTACACCAGGTGCAGGAGGAAGAACAGCTTCCGAGGCCTTTTCCACCACCCTTTCATCCTGTCACCCTCTGTAAATATCCCTTTCATTAGTCATTCCTCCTTTATCCCTGAACGTGCCATCATTTCCTACCTGAATCATCACTGACTTATACTAGACTCTAAATTTTTCACATGGTACTGACATACATGGATTGCAGAATCAGAATTCTAAAACTGACCTCGAATACCACATATATTTCATAGGAAATACAACCACAATTCAAGAAAAAATATTTATAGTTGTTTTTTTTTTTTTAAATCACGTAAATTGCCAGGATAAGGAAGGAATGTTATAAAAACAGCAGTGTCTGACACAAGGTCTTCGGCTATATGGAAATCGGATTGCAGCTTTTGTGAGTTGCTAAATATGGCTGTCTTCAGGTGATCAAATGCCTTCTGTTTGATTTTGTTTCTACTATTTTTGAGATAGTGTCTCACTATGTAGCCCTGGTTGGCCTAGAACTCAATATATAGACCAGAGGACCTTACATAAAAATGATTCTTTTACCTCTGCCTTGTAAGTGCTGGGGTTAAGGGTGTGCCACCACACCCCACTGATGAAATGCTGTTTAACTTAGAGTCTATTGTAGCGCTGCTGAGTGATTGGCAGTAAGTCACAAGTGCACTCAGAGATGACATGACATACAATGGAGAGGAATGCTCTTTACTGAGAAGCACAGGCCTGTGACCCTGCACAGAGAAATATGTTTTTTTTTTTTTTTTCAGAGGGAAATACATCTCTGCTCATGGCCCAAGTAGGAGCCCTTCCCAAGTCTGGAATATAGTTAGGTTTGGCTTAAGCTAAGTGAAATAAATAAACCTTGTCCCAAGTGAGAGCTAATTGCTCACCTCTGCCTTTCAAAGTTGTCAAATGCTAAGCCAGTGTGTTCTTTTCTTAAACTTTTCAAATAAGAGCTGTCTTGACCTAGCATTAGCACAAGCCTCCCACACCCCCACAAAGTGAATTGACCCTGGGGAGAAGAGGGTCAAAGCTTAACAAGAGATGTTGGGCGTGGGGTGGGATGGATTGGTCGCCCTGCTTGAAACCTGTGCCAGCCTGCGCAATTTGGGTTATGGTAGTTTCTAGAGCATTGGCTCTAGGTTGTCTTGGTTCTATGGATTGAGATGGTTGTTTCTGGAGCACAGGGCTGCTATAGGTTATCTTGGTTCTAAAGTTCTTGACATTCAGGTCTTTTGCAGGCTTTATAGCAAACTTGGTTCTCCATCAGATCTCTAGAGAGCAAAGGCTCCAACTTAACAGCCGCACTTCCCAGATCTTTCTTGGAAAGGTGACCAGGGTCACACTGAATCATCTCAAAAGAGCCCAGCACAGAACAGACCACTTGGCTCCATTCCAGGACACCTTAACTTAAGGCCGGCATTCTCAGGTGAATATTCACTTGACACTTTTCTCCCTCTCCCACCAGTGACAGAACTAAAAAACAAAATCAGCTTTTCTTTCCTCAAATTTAACCGTGTATGTACTATGTCAAAGTAATTGCTGCTTCTCTCCTCTCCCTGGAAAATGAGTCAGTAACGGAAACAAGCATGGCCAACGGGCACCAAAGAGGAAATGTCATATGCCTTCTAGGTATTTCTTTTTTCTAAGTTGCCTTTGAAATGTCATGAACAATAGGCGATTGTTAGATAAAGTTTTGCTATTCAGATTCTTTTATGTGTAAATGGGTGCAAATGAGTCAATAGAATTTAGTCACCAACATGAAAGGAACAGAAGCACACAAGGAGATGGAGTCCTAGAGACTAACTAGTTGACTGACTAGTTCTTAAACAAGCGGCTTAGCAGACCTGAGGAGATGGCTCAGTGGTTATAGCCCTTTTGTGCAAACATGAGGACTAGAGTTTGGATACCCAGAACCCACATAATTTCTGGGCTGGCAGAGAGAGGACCCGCAGAGCAAGCTGGCTAACTAAACTGGTGAGCTTATACTGGTGAGCTCTTCATTTGACTGAAGGATTTGACCTCAATGAATAAAGTAGAAAAACCCGTGAAGGATGATTCCCAACAACCTGTGCATGCACACATACAAAAGCATGCAAGCCATGCCTAAAATTGGCCATAATAATTAATTAATAAATAATTTAAGTGGCTTAAATTATGATATTGTGCACTTCCAAGTGTATAATTTTGTTCCCATTGTAATATACCTATTTCAAAAAATTCTCAGGCATTGCTCTGGAATGGGTGCAGGGGGACAGTGTTGCCTGAGTGTTAATAATTTTTCATTCTGAGATTTTACGAAGTCATCTGATAAAAAGAATCAAAATTCCAGATTCAAAATAATCAGAATTTTATGCTTGAGGATCACACCGCAGGCCTCATTGTTCCCCTGGGTATAATTTCTTGGCATGAAACACTGGGTGGAAGGGGGTTATTTATTTAGATCTGTCTAGATTTTAGTTGTTAAACTTTGCCTTCCATGCTTAAATTTATAAAAAGGTGAATCATTTATTCATTTTATTAAAAGTAAAAGCTAATTTGATACAGACAATTTGTATCAGAGATGCTTAGGTATTTGTCGTCTTTCTAAGTGATCACCAGGTTTGATAACTAATTATGGAAAACAGCTTTGAGTAAACAATGAAACCTGAGAAACAATTAAATTTGAAAAAATCAGCCATGCTATAATTTTATCTGCCCATCAATCTGCCCTTTAACTGACCATGTTAGAAGACTGACAATTGAAAGCAAAACTCTCTTTGAATATCAAGAACTCCACTGAATATCTTAAAACTTGAATTTACAACAAACGCACATTTTAAAAACTTGCCAAGAATTAATTCGAGCTGGGCAATGGTGGTACACGTCTTTAATCCCAGCATTTGGGAGGCAGAGACAATCTCTGTGAGTCTGAGGGAAGCTTGGTCTACAGAGTGAGTTCCAGGACAGGCTCTAAATCTTGTCTTGAAGAACAAACAACACCAACAACCCCCCCCCCAAAAAAAATTAAACAAACAAACCAACCAAACCAAACCAAACAAACACCCCCCCAAAACCCCTAATTTGATTTTTTTTCAACTTTCATTTCACTTACAGACGCCATGCCTATGCTAAGTGCAAACTATTCTTGGAGAATAAGTACGCTGAAGACTTCCACTTTTCCATGTTTTCTTTCAGAGTTTAGTTTGTAGCATTTCAGATGTGTTTATATCATAACTCTGACTAAAATGTACACGCTCACTGAAATACTTTAATGCTGAGTTTAAACCATGCCGAATGTTTGGAAATACATTGAGATATGACTCACGGTTACATGGTTTCTTCTGTAGTATGAGTCAAAACATGTTCCTTAAATAAAAATACCAACAGAAGAGTTTGCTGTGACCCAGTCAGTCATCTTGTAAAGAAGATGTGTATGTTAGTCGTGACCCTAGTATCAACACCACAAAGATTCCAGTATACCTGAAGAATGGGCTCGGGTTTTCAGATTTTGATTTTAAAATCTGGCCTCAACTGTGAAAAAGCTTCCCCAACAAAAACTGAAAAGCATTCATTAGAATTAATTCTTTTACTATTTCTTTTTGAGAAGGAAATTTCTAGTCTTCTTCAGTAGCATCATCACAACAGACAACACAGAATAAATAACTTGATACCAGGACAAGGCTCCTAGGGGAAGGGTGAACCAAACCGGCCTTAACCACATCAGTGCAGCCCTCTCAGGGTGGCACAGTCCTGATTGGAGAGGACTCCCACAGGCACAAAGTTACAACGTTACAGTTAAAGGGACTGATGACTTTCAAGTTCATGGTCCAAATAGAGTCCATTAAGCAATCACAAGACAGCAACTTGTCTGTTTCGATTGCTTCATCGCTTGCACGAACTGACTTCCTAGAGAATGAGTTTCGCTTGGCTTGACTGCACACTGCATTTATAACAGCAGTGGCATCAAAATTTAAAACAGGAGACAGTAACCACGTAGAGTTTTAAACAAATTACAAAACCACATGCTTGGTTATTCAGCAGGAAAGCTTAAATCAACTGGGTCTCAGATGCAGCTGGTTGTCCTACAAAGGTCACATAGCATGAGCTGTAGACAGCCTTCTGAGATCTTCCACGAAGGACCTTGCAGTTTCATTTTGTTCCTACGCCAGCTCTTCACGTTTCTCCAAGGAGGCTGTTAAAGGCCTTTGCAGAGGCTCCCTTGTGAAGTGCATCCTCATAACTGTCCACAAAGGTCAGTCTGTTTAGTGGCACTGGACAGGGTAGGACAGGAAGTCCGTGAAACCTCTTGTGTTCTCAATGAAGTCCGGCAACAGAGGACTGAACGCATTAGTCTCAGGACCGGTGGCCTAAGGATGGCAAAGACCCAAGGGTCAATTATAGAGTTAATTGATAAAAATCTAAGAGCTTGGAGGTCCAAGTTTTCCTTTCGGGAAGAGGTTTCATTCACATAAGCAAAGATCTGAAAGGAGAGAGGAAAACAATGTTAGTTTTATATTGTAAGCAAGCTGACTTAGATCCCATCGTCTCTTGAGATTCAGCCTTGTTTTGTGTAGTAGCAGCAAGTGGAAGGGCGGGTGGAAAAAATCTATGTAAATCAAAACTTAATCTTTTTTCCCTATGAACTTAATGAAAGCAAGTACTCTAAGGGTTACAATTAACACTGGCATCATATACAAAACTTTCTAATCTTGTCCCTGGGAATGGAGGGAAATTAATAAACTTTTCTTGGCACCTAGGATAGAATCTGCTTTCCGTTTAGATGATCTCATTATATAGCCCAAACTGACCTCAACCGCATGATCTGCCTATAACCTCTCAGGTGAGGATTGCAGGTGTGAGCCACTGTGCTTTGCCAAGTGAATATTTTAATGATATCTGTAGTCATGATGATACTATTTGTAGCTTCTGTTTGTCGATAGCCCAATATGTGTGCTGTGAAACACACCTGCTTTCTTTGGAGTCCTACGGAAGCCATAGCAGATGCGGAAGTAAGTTTCAGAAATGTTAAGAATAACGTTGCACTTCTAAATATCTGGCTTGATGTGACTATCACGATTCAGCAAGAGAGAGCAAGCGAGCACATCAGTTGGAGAACTGGTTCTGAGTATTGCACTGCTTTGACCTGAATTTAACTCTTGTCTGTAACTTTAGTATCGTGGGCAAGAGACTGAGAGCCTGTCCTCACAGGTCATCGGAAGCAACACTTAGGCTGCGCCAACAGAGCTCCCATAATAGTGCTCTACAGAGTAGGTGAGTTGTGACCTCACTTCACCAAGGACACAGGGGCACTTGCCATGGACCTAAGGCTGGTTAGTAGCCTAGGAAGGGTACAAATCCAAGACTTCTGGTACTGGTACGCGCTCAGTGCATATTACATCCAGGTCAGTGCTGCAGCAGGGGCCTGCAGAATTATGTCTTAAGCTCTGGGAAGTGGACAGACACACTCTTACACGTGGATCGGCATTTCCAGACCGGTATTGGTGCTCTCATTTGAGTCAGTGCAGCAGATTGGCAGGGAACAGTACGGACTTGGTGGCTATACCTCTTCATTCCAGCCTACAGAGAGGAAGAGTTTGAACGTGGACCACACCTCATCATCTAACTAACACAGTAATTCTTGGTGTGCCAGGGATCCTCTGGCCTAGTCTATGACGTAGGGAAGCCAACCACTTCTCTGATACTTTTCCATGAAACAACTCATTCCTTCCCTTTCTCCCGAACTTACTCTGCAGCATCTGGGAACTGGATGTACCAAACAGACTGGAGGGCGAGAGAAAAGTAGTCATCTTTGGGTTGCTTATGTTAGGACAATAGCGGGAAGGTTTGGCAGCCAGAGGTGTTTATGCCAGAGAATCTTGGCATGAGGAATGGAGAAAAGAGTTGGCAGATGAGTAAGGAAAAAGAAGAATTGATGGTGGGCTTCTCAGACCTCAGAGAGAAGAGTTAGGTAGGGCTATGCAATGGAGCACTAGTCTTCTGGTCTGCTGTGCTATTTCGGTTGCAAAATATTCAGTTACAGTTTTTATATATCATGATGTTTTATCATGTGAATTTTTTTCTTTATGGTGCGGGGACTTGAACTTGGGGTCTCACATGTGTTTGGCAAGCATTCTACCACGAGCTACATTCCCAACTCTATTGTGAGGTTTAGACATCTAAAAGTCTCTAGTTGCGGGAGAGAATGCCCCTCCTTGGGATGGCTAATTATTGCAACCAACAAAGGACTCCACAATGAGTACGTCTTTGCTACACACATTACTAACCAGTCCTGAGATATACCTCCTCCGTAGACCCCTCAACTCATAGTAATGTTCTCTCCTTAATGATCCAGGGTCCTGTTACCAGGCAACCAAGGACTGCCTTGTAGCTGACAGCCTGTCATAATTACCCAAGTTTGCCATCCGAATCCTTTCACCTTGACATGTCTTTCCTGCAGAAACCCCAATAGAGACCACAGCCCAGACCTTGCCATCTCCCTGACTCTTCTGCATCCTCACCTATGGATGCACTGGCACTGCCTGGATTTCTCATGAATCTCTTCTTGGAAATGAACTTGACTGACCTTAATGTAAAAAAAAAAAAAGTACCTATTACCACCACCTACCTCCAAACTCAAAGTGTGGACCTTCCTCTCTCCATATGGCTGATCCTCAGTTCTTAACAAACAGTTGACATAGGAGAGACACAGGAGTGATGTTTTGGTGATGTTCTAGAATTTAAATTTGGAGGTTGGTGGGAATGCATTCTCCTTCTGGCATTGACCACCTGTGAGAAAGTGCCAGGTCCTAGTCTAATGAATCCAGTGAGTTACCTGCTTGACCCCTGCCCCCGGTTTTGCATAGACTGTGGTACATATTGAGTGAAGCAGACAGGAACCCGCTGTTTCGGCCATGTCTGAGGCAGCCGCCCCTGGAAAGCTCCATCCTGGCAATGGTCAGGGGCTGTCATTTAAACTATTCTCCGACCTTTAATCCTATATGAAGTGGGTTTAGAATTCTAGAGTGAACGAATGCTTCACTTGGGAAGATGTAAAACATTCAGTTGCTTTTCTTCTTTGGCATAGTCAGTCTTGGCTAAGCCGTGGGCTTCAGGGGTGGGGGTCATCTGATAGCCTCCCCACAGGAGTACAGACACATTTTAGAGAGAAGGAGGCCAAGGCTAGAAGACTAGTTACTTGGCCTTAGAAGTCAAACTGCAGTGATGGAGCTCCAACTTCTGTGTCTGTCCTGAGGCAGTATCTGGGCACGTGCATACAAAACCTTTGAGACAAAGCTTCCTGTGAGATTCCCGAGTGGCCACCTGACACTCCTGTTCAAGGATGTCACGAAGGCCTGTGACCATCCCTCTTCTCTTTAGAGATGGAGACTTTTCACTGTCTCTGTTTGGCTCTTCTCCATGGGGCTTCTCTTTCATCAACACTCACCAACAGCTAACTTGCAGGCAGCACTTACTCTCTGTTCATCTGCCTTTCGAAAGATGTTGTGGTCTCCTAGCTACAGGCATTGCACAATTAACTCTTAATTTGCTGTTGTTGTGGTGGTGGTGGGCCATGCTTTAAAGAAATCCTTTCTCCCTAAACATGTCTGTGGCACATGGAAACTGAACCCTACTTTACTTCATAAGAAAAACAAAACCAAAACCAAAAAAACCGGGGCATGGATATGGGTCCAGCATGAGAACGACCTTGGCACTGTGTGCCTTGAAAGCCCAATGAGGACTCACTGCTGAGGTCTACAGCTCTGGGCTGAAACAGCCCAGGACAGTGGCGCTGAGGAAATGATGGACAGCACGATTCACCCGCCCAGGAGTCCCCTAACATATTTCACAGCTGGTGTAGGTGTGATCCCCACCCAGGAGTCCCCTAACATATTTCACAGCTGGTGTAGGTGTGATCCCCCACCCAGGAGTCCCCTAACATATTTCACAGCTGGTGTAGGTGTGATTCCCCACCCAGGAGTCCCCTAACATATTTCACAGCTGGTGTAGGTGTGATTCCCCCGCCCAGGAGTCCCCTAACATATTTCACAGCTGGTGTAGGTGTGATCCCCCGCCCAGGAGTCCCCTAACAGATTTCACAGCTGGTGTAGGTGTGATCCCCCGCCCAGGAGTCCCCTAACAGATTTCACAGCTGGTGTAGGTGTGATCCATGTGAAGGACCAGGAGGGAGACAGACAGAGGCAGACAGATAGGGAAAGGAGCTATAAATACATAATGCTGACAAACTTCCAGCCTTTTCTTTATCCACATGACTGAAGACAAAGACCTAAAGTTCTGTCTTTTTCCCCACTAGTCAATCCCCCTCCCCACTATCGTACCTCTGCTGATGGACCAGCAAGACCAGTTCGAGGCTGGGATCAGGGCAAGTTTACCTCAAATTTGTGGAGCTAATGGCCTCCTTGTCTTTGGTCAGACGGAGCAACACTGAGTTGGGGAAGGCTCCTCACAGACCCTGAAACCCAGGCTTCCTTCCGGGAGAGGCTGGGCTTCAGCTTCCCCAGCTCACCTCTGCTTTGTGTTTCCTCTCCCCGAATAAATGCCTTTCTTCACCTGTTGACTCTGTCTGCTGTGTCTGAGACCTTTCCCCGCTGTTACCCGTTACACTGGAGATTCTCCCTGCCTTTAAATTTCCTCATTGGCAGAGAAAACACTCTCATCCAAGGCCGCAGACAGTATCACATGTACCGCCCATGGAGCAGAAATCAACACCCCTTGTCCACAGGAAGTTTCAGTCTTCCCTAAACGCTTTCCCTTTCTCTGGCCCTTCATATTACACAAGTGTCCTAGTTTCACAGTACTTAACCCGGTTTTCAATTTAGGGACCAGTTTAGGTAGCAAAATGCTGTCAGAGAAATGCAGCTTAGTGAGCCCCAGTGATGTGAATTTTTAGAGCTGAAGTCCTAGTCTGAAATAACAGAGAGGATCCACCTAACTGTGAGGATAAAAAGCTCTAATTCTCTGTCAGGAGAAAAGACGATGCTTCTTACAGACTGTATTTATAAAAAAAAAACACCAGAACTGTGTCTGTATTTACAGTCACCACTGCAGAATAGCAAATTGATGGAGCAAAAGATGCCAACTGAAAACACTCACAGGGAGGAATGTTCTCTTAAAAGGAAATGCGTATTTCAACGGTCGCAACAATTGTCAAACACATCACTAATGATGCCTCAGTGATGAAGGGCATTCCAGCTGCTTAAGAACATCCACTTACACATCACCACACTAAGTTCTCCGTGGGCACCCAGAGACTTCTAGGTTTCTCTTTCATCGCTACCTGAAGCTTATAGTTTATACCCTTGTGACCTTCACCACCTGTTCACCTGACATTTGGCACAAGGGAAACCAGAAACGAACAGGAATGAACAGGAAACTCCAGGATTGTTTGCTTCAAATTTTTCTATAGTGTGAAGATCAGATTTCCACTAATCAGATTTGCCTAGAAATTCTAACCCTGGAGAATTTGTTAAAAAAAAAAAAAGGAAGATGTTTTTTAAGTGAGTCAATGGCAGGTTCTTGAAATTTTAGAACTGAATAAAATGCATAAGCGCTTTATCCTAATGGCGTGTGGAAACCAGTTAAAAATGCCTAGAAGCTGAGCACAACTATCAAAGTGCTGAGAAAGCAGCTAGCTGGGCAAGGGTTGGAAACTGAGAAACAGAGAATATTTGAGACAAGAATGGAAGGTTCATATGTTTCCCTTGCGCTGTTCCATTTCAGGAAAAAAAGCAGCTTTATTTATCACTGTGAAATGATGACAACAGCTGATTAACATAAGGAGGAATTTATTAATTTATACATAGTGAATAAATAGTTTGGACATGTTGTTGGTCTCATGCATGATTTCATACTGGACAACCAAAGTCCTAAGCACCACATCACATGCTTTTTAAGTCTTTGAAGAAATGTTTTATGGGCATCAAAGGAAGGTTTTATGTGAGGGCTAATCTGATTGTTTCTTAATTTAGACTAGCATTTACACTAGCCAATCTCCTAAAATCTCAGTCCCAGGCTTGTATTTCACAGGACTGCAGAGAAAGAAAATGAAGCAACATGATTGTATTAGCGTGTGTGTGTGTGTGTGGGGGGGGAGACAGCGCTAGCATGCTGTTTTAGTTTTAAAGCTAGTAAAAGTTAGAATAAAGAGACAAGGTGGTCCAAATATTTATTATGTATTCCCAATTCTCTTGTGAAACCATAATTGGATCTTCTCCCATGTTACTCTTAAAATGAGAACTTTCTTTTAGATACTATTACTGTTAATACATTGCATCCCAGCTCTGCTACTCCCTAGCTGTGGGCCCAGGAGGAAGTTACTTGACTCATCTACACAATAGGATGCATCTCGGAGGTTGGTGTGAAGATAGCGAGTTGATGTAAAAATGCACCCTCAGAACCCTAAGTCTTTAGGTGTCACAGTAGTGGTACGCTAGGCTGAACTGAATTCATCTCAGTGTACTGAACGTTTTTTATTTTTCTCTTTTGAAAGTTTTAGTTCCCGAACTTTGGAGGCCCTGGACTGACATCCTAGAAGGAAGGATTCCACTCTGCTCATAACCTGGGACGGTGGCTGGTATTAGCAGTTCATTGCTAACTCTGGATTTTCTGAGTCCCATCTTTTTCCGTGGCCAGAGAACTGCAGAACTGACCGGGGTCCCACCAACTCTGGCTGTGAATGCTACTGTTTGCTGGCTAGAGTCTGACATACTTCTGAGGAACGTAGAAAAAACAGTTCTTGCTATTCTGAGTAAAAAAATGGTCAGTGGTCCCAAATATAAAACAGTCTACTTATAAAGCTGAAGCCTAGGAGCCATGTTGGTTTCTAAACCACAACATTTCACTACACAAACTCTCCTGCTGGGGTGCCTAGGGAGTTGCTACCTTCCACAGCCCAGCTCCATCTTATTCCCCACTAAGTATAACTTACCAATTCAGACTATCTGCTCCAGGGACAGAGCTACAAGTGTGAGGGTAATGGGGAGCAGAGCAAAGAGAATATGGCTGAGAATGGGGGTTCTTTGGGGACACGGTTCATATCCGAATCTCTTTATGTCCTCGAGGAAGAGTAGATGATACCAATCAGAAGCATCGATGAGGGCAGGAGACAGGAAAGAGCGACTTCTGTAGCTTCTACGCGGTTCATCTTCCCTTAGCCACCATTCATACCATCATTTCCCAAGTCCCCAGTTTAGAGCTCTCCACGAGAGGTCAGAAGGCTCCAAACTCAATTCTGCTTCCACATTAGACTTCAGGAGCTCGGGATCTATTTTTAGAACTAATTTGTTTAGAACTAATGGTCCCTCTAACCGCACAGCACCCACACTTCTACCCTGGCCCTGCCTCCATTGCCCAGGAAGCCTTTTCTCTGCTTCCCTGAGATGTACCAGCTGTTGCTGCAAGTTCCTTCGTGTGCATCAAGTGCACAGCTACAGAACAGCTAGCATCTGTCTATATTCCTGACAGTGACATTAAGAGGATATTTTGAGGTTACAAGTGTCTCCTGTGAGGGACCACAAAAGCACTATGTAACAGTTGATCCTTTCCTCTCGTTTTCATGACCACACAGACTTGTACTCTAACATGTAAACTGGTGAGTCTCTCAACTAGATTTTTGACCTTAAAATTCCTAAAGTCAAATGCAAGCGGCTGTAAACTTCTCCACCAAGGACTCTCTGAATTCTATGGGCCCCGCAACTACATTTTGCCTAGGAGAAATGAAAGCACCAAGGGATGAGGCGTCAAGCCCTGCAAACTGAACTCCAGTGATCGGCTTATAACAGGACAACCGTCCTAACCTGGAAGGACTCCCTCCTCTTCAGTTACCAACCCACCCAGGGAAGGGACCATGGAGAAGGTTCCTGTAGGGCATAGAAGAACTGCTCTCTTAGGAAAGTTCATGCGTCAACGCTGGGGGCGGAAGGAAGTGGGCAAAGGTGAAAAGGGAAAGCAATGATGGCAATAGACCTTTATAAATTAGGGCACTTTGTTTTTCAAGTTGCCAGTGAGTGCCCGGAGGTAGAAAGGGGAGGTGAAGGGAGTTTGAGGCAGCTGCATGCTGCTGGGCTGTGGAAACAAACGAACTTACTGTGAAAGGCAAGGAACAGATGGCGAAGGTGATGGTCATAATGGCCAGGAGAATGAGGTGGTCCGTCTCCTCCGCCATCGAAGTCCTTTCTCCTCTTCTGCGCGACCCAGGGCGACCCAGGCCACCGCCCGATGATCCACAGCGGCTTCTCCTGGCCCGACGGTGCATGCGGATGAGGTTAAGGATGACGCTGAAGTTGCAGGCGAGCACCGCCAAGATGAGCAGCAGCAGCACCGTGGCGTAGAGCTGCAGGTATGCAGTCCGCCCGTGCCGGATAAAGCACCATGTCCCGGGACAGTACTGGACGTACTCCCCGTAGTTGAGCAGCGGCAGGGAACAGAAGAGCAAAGAGACGGCGTAGATGACTGGCAGCACCGCCAGGCCCCCGCGACGCGAGAAACGGCGCCGGTAGAAGTAAGGGTGTCCGATGGAGAGGTAGCGCTCCAGGGCCATCGCAAAGAGCATGAGCATCGTGGCAAGACTGAAGAAAGTCATTGTGAAGGCGAAATAGGTGCATACGCGGCTCTCGGGAGCCAGGGCCACCAGTGTCTGGTTCCGCGCATAGGAAGCCAGGACCACCGGACTGATGAGACAGGTCCCCAGCAGGTCGGTGAGCACCAGCTCTGTCACCAGCACGTGGAACAAGGAGATAGAGGTCCTGCTGCCGGCACTGCATCCCGTGTCCCCGCGCCAACGGCGTGCCAGCAGCGCCAGCGCAATAAGGTTCCCCAGAACCCCGGCCGAGAACATCACCGAGCTGATGGCTGGGCTATCCTCCGGGAGGAGCCACTGTCTACTCTGGCAGTCCTCCATCTGCCCGGAGTCATGGGAGACATTCTCCATGGTGGAGGGCTTGGAGGAGAGATAGTCTCTCCTCCAGGCTGGTACCTGACAGCAAGAGGGTCTGAGGGCCCCGGTGCGCCAAGACACAGAAGGGAAAAGGGGAGGGACCGAAATCCAGAGCTCCCTTCCGGCCCCCAGCTCGCGCCAAGGGCCGCTTCGCCCGGGTCTCCCGCTTGCGCGCCCAGTGGCCACTTCCCTGAAGCATCATCAGGTCACCCTCGAGGTTCCTGCGCCTCATCCGCTCTGGCTGCTGGGGAGAGCTTTGGGGGGTAGCCCTCAACCCCCATGCCCGCGCCGTCTGGGGGCAGGTCCAGTAGTGGCTGTCAGGCAAGCAACTTCCATTGTTTGCGAGCTGCTGCTGGGGTTGGTGGTGGGGGAACAAGGCGAGACGCACTAGCTGGGCTCTATAGAAGGGGGTCCAGCGTCCACCCTGAGCTGACTTGTAGGGTCTTCATTCCCGCGGAGTATCCAGGATGCTTGCAGGGTCGTCTGACTTCAGCTCTGAAGCCTTTAGCCCTAGGAGATGGCTGGGAACCAGTGCAGGGTAGTAAGGCTGAGGTAACAGGATAGCAAACTAACTCACTAACCGGAAGTTAGGAGGACCCAGTCCTGTGAGATGTAAAGAACAAAGGAACTAAGACTTCAAGACAACTTGAAGTGAGAACGATATGAGAGAGGTTGTTGCTTTGCATTTTTCTTTTAGCATTCCCAAGAAGATACTCAACATGGGTGAGACAAAAACCGGAAGGAAGTGAAAGTAAGCCGGTTCATCCACGGAATGGGACTATACACACCATCACAGAACGTCCTGTTGTACAGTTAATAGCTTTGAGTCGGTTACCAGCATTTTGGTTTTTTTTTTTCCTATGCCAACACTATAACAAATGACAACTTGCTTAAGCAACCTTAACAAAACAAACGGGAGAGGTTCTTGTGATCGTCTAGAGTCATGTTTGTGCCCATAGATCGTAACTGCACTTTAGCGTTCCTCTACTCAACTCAAGCCAATCTTGAAGAAACTGCTGATAGGCTGTTTAGCCTTTCATTTATCCTCTCACGGTCAGTTAACCATGAAGGCCTATTGGAAAGATTCATTCCTGGGAGTGTGTTGGTAACTGGCCAGTTTCACAATGGGACTGACACAAATAGTTGCTTAGCATCTGTTGTCATAGTTACAGAGTAGCAAAAGCGCACCGATGTTTTGAAATTTTCAAATCCAGCTTGACAGACAATGTAGGCAATCATATGCTACTTGAAAAGGCATATTTCATTAAAAAAAGGCGTATTTCACATGAGAAAAGAGACTGCTTCAAGACAGGTTTGCACAGGAGCCTGGGACAAAGAAAAAAGCAAAGGAAAGATGACTTGCAGAGCGCATCTTGCTTCCTTGACTTTACCATCATTCTGGCCTGGGGACTGGAGGACCGAGAGAGGGTTTTCTAGCAAAATAAGGGAAGCAGAATTTATCTGTGAAGCCTACAGCAGCTATTCACTCCAGTGCTAACCTTCTTAGGGTGCGGATTGAGTGGGTGCCCTCTAATAAACTAGACAAGGGTTGCACTGCTTCCCTCTAGCAGACAGAAATCACTGAATATTGGAGAGATGGGATTTAATGAATGGTTTTCAGCAGCAGTTTACAGAGGACCAGTTTTCTTGCTTCTAGGCTTCCTGCTGATGGGTGCTTCCTGTCCTCCAACTTTGTCATTCCTCACACTTTGGATTTGTGTAGCCAGGATCTTCCCCTTGAAGGTGCAGGTTGCTTCCTAGGCTAGTCAAGATTCAGCCAGAGAAAGGTTCACTGTTAGCAATAAAGAATGCGGAATTCATTATTCAGCACAAAGCTTGCATTGCTCAATAATCTAGTCAGTAGCCACATGACAGTTTAAATTTAAATTAATTAAAGATAAAATTATAGTTTCTCAAAATATGTTTAGTCAATCTGGTACATTTCAAGCCACATGTGACCCTTTTACCAGGTCACATTTTAAAATTTATATAGTGTTGCCTTAGGTCCTACCTGATGTGGAGATTGATGGGGGAGACCACAGTGTTTGTGGCTATATTTGGTTCTTGTTTTGAGCCTGAATCACATTCAGGACAAATTAGAATGGCTGTCAGAGTGGAACTCTGGGTGCGTAGGAGAGCAAGAGCAGACCAGAACTATGAAGGTAAACCACGAAGGACTGAAGTCTTAGAGGATAATCTGGACCTGCATGTGTCTTTACTAATTTCAGCCTTAGTGGCGTAATTACCCCTAAGAAAAAGCTTGATGATCTAAAGATGTGGTTCCGGCTTGAGACTTGAAGATACCACTGATGGAGACTGAGGAGGTTCAAGCCCAGATGATGTTCTATGAAGCAAGATCAGGGGGAGTGTGTGAAAGCCACCAACATGTCCGGGGCCTTACATTTGTTTCTCTTGAGCAGGGACACCATAATGCTATTTCTTGGCTGCTCTTCAGGTCACATGTGACATGTCACTTGTGACCATCACTAGACTGGGACCATGCAGGGATTCTAGATGACAGTTTCTGTTTGGCTTGGATTATGTGAGCAAAGCTACCATACAGCTCCTCCACAGGTTCGGGCATTCTGTCTTCAGTGAAGGCAGGTCAAATGGAGAGACAGGGTCAGGACCTGCTTCCCTCCTCCCTCACCTGCTTTCTCACTAGAAAAGCAAAAGGCTTTCCAGGAGCATTGAAACAGGCAAAGAAGAGGCTGGAAATAACTTTTGGATTAGTCAAAAAAATTTGTTAAAAATTGATAGAGAGAGAGAGAGAGAGAGAGAGAGAGAGAGAGAGAGAGAGATATCTCATTTGAAGTGGAAGGTACATTCACTTCCTAGTTTGAAACTGGTAATCAAGGAGACAATAAAACAGTATTCAAACTTTCTATAAGAAATGTATCTTAATGTAACTAAATAGGCTCAAGTAATGAAAGTTGTACTGTAAAGAAGACTATGTAAAATGTAGAATGCAAGACAGAATCAGAAAAACTACATCCTCTAATTCCTAATAAAATTAGTGATTGAGTTAAGTATGTTAAATTACTCTTAAGATATGAAGTATGTGGGTGTTGGGACCTAGAAAGTCACATAAGACAAAAGTAACACTATAGAGATTCCGCTCTGTAGGTGGAGATTCCTTATTCATTGCCCAGCCTCTCAGACCCAAATAATCACACAGAAACTTTACTAATTTTAACACTGTTTGGCCAAAGACTCTAGCATATTCCTAGCTAGCACTTTCATCTTAAATTAGCCCATTTCTATCAATTTGTGCATTACCACGAGGTTGTGGCCTACTAGTAAGGTTCCAGAGTGTCCTTCTCTTTTGGCAGCTTTATGACAGACATCTCTGACTCTGCCTACTCTCTCTATATCTGTTCAGATTTCCTGCCTTGCTTTACTCTGCTAAGCCATTGGCCAAAACAGCTTTATTCATTAACCAATAAAAGTAACACAAATACAGAAGGACTTCCCACATCACCTTTCTTATGGCTAGGGAGAAAGAGGGACTAATGGTTCAGTGAAAAGCTCCAATTGGGTAAAGGCCATCTCACTGGGTAAAGGCCATCGGGACTGACGACTTGAGTTTGATCCTGGAATCACATGGTCAAAGGAAAGAACTGACCACCAAAAGTTGTCTTCTGTCTGCCACAGAACTGTACTGTGCTGTGCATGCGTGTGCACCCATGTGCACACACAAATGTTCAATGTATTATATTTTTTAAAAGCCAAAACTGCCAATACCCAAAAGTAGATCATAACATCCAATCAATGCTTATTTTCTCTGAGTTGAACAACAACAACAAAAAACAACAGGAAGAACAACTTCTGGTACATTCTAGATCTAAGACATAACTGGAAGTCACGTCTTCTTTTCCATCAGGTCAAGTGGAGCAGGATAGAAGGCAGAAGCCAGTATCTGGAAGGAATAGCCAGTCAAGAAGGCTAGTGTGTTTCCAAGAAGAAGGTGGGTTCTGAGCAAAACAAGGTCTGAAGCCAGGTTGTGGTCTGAACAAAAGGAACGTAAGAGAGCATTTTGAGAACAGAAATTTGTATTTAGACTAAAATTAGACAGGTGGAACTGTGTGTGTGTGTGCGTGTGTGTGTGTGTAAGTTAGGGGAACTTGAGTGAAACAAGCAGGTAACAAGACCCTCACACTCCAGTGACACCTCACGCACCAGTGGTTAGGAGGAGGCGAGCCAAGGTGTCCACAGTAGCAATTTCTCCATGGTAGCAATATGCTACATCATTGTGTTTCTCTTGCTTTTCTATACTCATGTATTTTTTTTAGCATGCACACATCATCTTTATTTTTTTAATTAATATTTATTTATGTAATGTTTATGGGTATTTTGTTTGCATGTATGTGTGTGTACCACATGTCTGCCTGGTGCCCTAGAGAACCTAAGTCAGACTGGAGTTACAGACAGTTGTGAGCTGATATGTGGGTGATGGAATTGAACTCGGGTCCTCTAGAAGAGCTGCCAATGCTCTCAACCTCTGAGCCCTCTCTCTGGTCGTGTTATCTTAATAACAATGACAGCAACAAGGGTCATAACAATCAGCAGTAGTGCTACTATTTGGGGTGAGCAAACTGGAGCGGGGAGGAGGCGCCTCCAAGCAGGCAAGGAGTGCAGCACCTGTCTAGGGCAAGATGCCACACCTAAAATGGCAGCAAACCAGCCCACTCCTTCATTTCACCCATCAGACTGAAGGAGGAATGAGCTTCTTGAGCAAGCCACCCCCAAATAAGAATTTGATGGGCCATTTCCTCCTCTAGACTTTAGGATGAACATACCCACTTGCTGGTTTCCCGCCTGTGAGCCCAGAGAATTCTAGGAGTGTCTGAAGTTTTTCCCAGTTCCATACCAAAACCTCTGAAAACTTCTCAAGTTCCTCGTGTCCCAGTTTTCATTGCCTTGATTGTTGTCTCGGCCCCATGCAAATGGAAGAAGAAATAAAAAGTTCTGAAGAAGCTGCTTCTGGTTCTAAGTAGCTTTGGTATAAAACTGGGTTACAGGGAAGAGATTATGCACCTTAATTTAAAATCAATTCAGAGGTAGAAAGAGGCTGAGCCAAATGAAACTCGAGGACTGTCCAAAGCTAAACCCTATTTCCTTTCACAGCTGCCAGTGCATGGGACATAGATGTCAGGGGTCTGTTCTGTTTTGCGATGTGCTGTCTTGTGTTTTGAGACAGCACAGTGTCTCACTCACTTTGTAGCCTCAAACGCGAGGTCCTCCTTTCTCAGTCTCCCAAGTACTAGGATGGCAGGCACTTGACGCCAAAGTGCTAGCTGGTATGAAGATTCCATGTAGGGTTATCTTCTGCCCGCGGCTGAAGCTGAGCTTAAGGGTCTCGCTGTCACAGTAGCGTTTTCTGCTGCAGCTCCCCTGCATCTCTAAAATCTTGACGTCTGGGGATAGAGGCCTGAGGAGGTTCACTTTCACAATATTCCAGCACCTGGGCTCCCCCTAGAGGAGCAGCTTAAAAACTCCCCCCCCCAGCTTCTTTTACAAATAAGAAAAATCTGATTTTACCTAGTTATAAAAACTTTAAAGTAAAACCAAGCGACGGTGGCGCTCGCGGTTAACCCCAGCACTTGGGAGGGAGGCAGAGGTAGGTGGATCTCTGTGAGTTCGAGGCTGGCCTGGTCTATAGAGTGAGTACCAGGACAGGCTCCAAAGTTACACAGAGAAACCTTGCCTCAGCAAACCAACCAACTAAATAAATAAATAAATAAATAAATAAATAAATAAATATTAGAGTATAAAGGTACCACTTCAACATTTCTAGTCGGAAGCATCCCTTGGAGGATTTTCTGCCCTGCAGTCTATATAACATGGTCATAGCCACCGTCTTTGCTACCACTCAAGTCCTTTCTGTACAGTGATGGCAGGAACAATCATTTCTGTTTTCTGAACCGTAGTGACCTAATAAGCACTCCTCCCAGTGTGGGTCAGCGGGATTGCCTCAGTTCTTAAGAAAGACCGTTCTTCCTCCTTTCTTCCTCCCTCTCTCGTCTCCTTCTCTTTGTGTGTTAGACAAGGGCTCTGTCATCCAGCTGCCACCTTCAGTGGGAATTTGATACACTACATCAAACTGTCATTTGAGTTTCTGTTCGTAGAATTAAATCTAAGCTGTGAAATTACCAAACCACAGCAGGTGACGTCCTCTGGGACGACTTCTTATTTCCACGGTGTGATCTTGTGGCTGCTCTTTGGAGATAAGGTCTCAATATGCAGCCCCAATTGACCTCAAACTGGAGATCCTCTTGCCTCTGTCTCCTAGGCCACATCGCTTTCATCTGAAATGGGATTAAAAATAAGAATTTCAGCACATCAACATAGTGCTGGGTACTACTGTCTTGAAAATGCATTGGTAATTTAGTGTGACAGTGTTGTTTTGAATTAATTTAACTTTGGGTGGGTAAACAGTCTCCTGAACTTATAGATTTCATTTCCTCTCTTTGGTATTCTCTGGAAACCTGGTTCTTATTTTGTTCCTCAGGGGTCTAAGATGTCAGAGATTAGAGGTACAGAGGATTCTAATACAGACATGTCCATAAACTTAGGCCTCAAAGGGAAGGCTAGGGCTGACAGAAATCAAACTGAGCCTGTTTCCACACTCTGTCCACAGGGAAAATAAAACTCGAACAGACAGAGTGGGTACATGAAAGAAAATGAGAGCCCTGGCCATAGATGCTATATGCATGTGCTTGTTGAAGTTCTCTGTGAGCTTGTAATCCCAACTTCACCTCACCCAGATGATCCAAAAACCTCATGCCTGGTTGAGTTTGGAACTGTGAAGAAGGATGCTTAAAAGAAATCCCACACTAGCTCAGAATTGAAAAAAATAGACAGTTATTTATTGGTGGGGGGTAGACTCACAAATCAGAATCCTCTGCGGGAATGGAGAACAGAAGCCAAATCCTGCAGCAGGAAAAGAGGGCAGATGCATGCTC